AAGAAGCTGGATGTCCTGGCCCTTTAAGTGAAACAAAGCAAAAGGGGTGGAGAGTTTCAGTGGAGGGGAATAAATGGGATTAGGTCGGGGGGTTTCAAATAGATTTTAAGGCTAAAAAAGGGAGTAGCAAAATGTTAAAGGGATAACATGGCGGAAAAGAGGGACATAAATGTTTTAAATTTCAGGATTATGTGGAGTAAAAAAAAGTTTGGGATGTAAAAAGGGGGTTTATAATAAGTGTGTATGCCCGGGAAAGAAGAAGTGTAGAGGAGAGAGAGAGATTTTGGGAAATGTTGAGTGAATCGGGGGATTTTGAATCAAGTGGAGAGAAAAGGTGGGGGGGGAAATTTTTTGCTAAGTGGGTAAAAATGTTGGGGGGTGTAGGAAAATTTGGGGTGCCGGGGGAAAAAAGTAAATGGGACCCTTTAAATTTTAGCTATGGTAGAAAAAAATTTGGTAATAAGAATACATATTTTGAAAAAGGATAAATAAATTACAAGGTTGATTACACGTAAGAAAGTAGTTTTTTAGATTTGTTTTGGTGGATAAAAGGTTGATGGGTGGCTCCAGATGTAATTTTTATAGGGGGGCAATGATTATGGATATTATTAGTTGTACTACGTTAAGAAAAGGGGGTGAGGGGAAAAGAGGAAGGGGGCAACAAAAGTAAGGGGAGTGAAAGTGAAAAACTAAGGGGGGGAAGTTGGGGGTGAGATAAAGGGACTATTGGCAGAAAGGGGGTAGGCAAAAGGAGGGGGGGGTTTTTGAAGGGGGTTGAATAGTTTTAAAAAGCGTTTTAAATGTGGGGCAGAATTTTGGGGTTATGGAGGGGGGGGGGGGGGGAGGAAAGAGGGGTTTGGTGGAATGATGAAGTAAAGGGTGTTTATAAAAGAGAAAAAGGTATTAAGGGGGGTTTTTACAAACAGAAGTGTTATAAGAAAGCAAGTATATGGGGGAAAAGAAAGGTAAAGAGAGTGGTGAAATGAAAAAGGAAAGGGTAAATGGGAAGGCACTGCCCCCGAAATTTAATTAAATAAGAAAAAATTTTTGGATGAAAACTTTAAGAAAGCCTGGGGAAAATGGGGTTTTGCATTTAAAAAAAACAGAGTAGGGGATTATAAGGGGGAGAGGGGGTATTGGAAGATGGCGAGAATTTTTTTTTTGGGGGAATTTTTAAATTTAAGGAAGAAAAAAGGGGCAGTAATTTCAGCAGGTCAGGGAGGAAAACCATCTTTTAGGAGTGAAAAGAGCAAAATGTAAGGTGGGGGGGGTACGTGAGGTTACGTAAAATAAAGGGGGGGTAAGGCGGGAACGATGGACATGACAGAAATTTTTAAAAAGCAGGGGGATAGGTTGGAGGTTGGTATTTTTTTGTTTAAAAAATGTATGAAAGAGGGGAAGGTACCTAGGGATTGGCAGAGAGCATGATAGCCCTTTATATAAAGGAAAGGGGACAAAAGGACTGAAAAAAATTATAGAGGAATGGGTTACTGAGTATACCAGGAAAAGTGTACGGTGGGGTTATAATTGAAAAAATTAGAGGTAGACGAATGTGGTTTGCGGATGAGCAAGGAGTTTTAGAGTGGTGGGATTGTAATCGGGTGTTTACATTGAAGCATAATGGAACATATTTAGAAAAGATGGGAATTTTTTTGCTTTAGGGATTTAAAAAAGGGCATATGAT